CTGCAGGACCTGTGGATCTGCAGGATCTGTGGATCTCATCCGGCCCCTCTCTCTCTGTCTCTCTGGCTCCAGACCCCCGCAGTGCCCCCGTCTCGCCCTCGCCCTTGCGCAAGGCTCCCAGCTCCCAGAGCATGCTGGAGGAGCGCCGCGTGATCCTGGGCTCCAGCCGCCGGAAGCTCAGCTCCCGCTACGGCATCTCGGAGTCCTTCAGCCCCGGGGACAACCGGGCCACGCCCCGGGATCGCTTCCGGCAGAGAGTCGGCACCATCGTCTGGGAGCCCGCCGCCCCCCCCAGCCGGGACAGCCTGAGCTCCTGCAGCGAGGCGGGCGAGGAGAGCACCGGTGAGGAGTGTGCGGGGTCAGGGGTCAGGGGTCAGGGGTCAGGGGCCAGACACCTGATCAAGACAGCTGTTGGTGTTAGACGTCAGGGATGAGAGCAAGTGAGTGGGCTAGGGTCAGAGGTCAGATGGATGGGAACAAGGTAGGTATTGGGGTCGGAGGTCAGAGTTAGGGCTGGGTTCACAGTTGTGATTGAGAAAAAAGCTCGCCATCGCCTCATCTGCCTGTACTGAACAATTCTGCTGCTGCAATTTCTCCCCGCAGCTCTGACTGAGGACAGGGAGGCGACCGAGCTCAGCGTCTCGTCCGCGACTGAAGGTCAGTGTGTGCAGGGACTGGGGGAGACGGGGCAGGTGGGGTTCAGGTGTCTGTGTGTGTGTAACGTGTGCATTCTGTTTCCTGATAGACTGCCAATCCATCAGCACTGACCAGGCTCCACTGACCAAGAAAAACAGCCTGTAGCCTCTCTGAAGGAGCGCCTGGGTGCACCTCACTGTGCCGAGAGACTGTGCCTCACTGTGCCGAGAGACTGTGCCTCACTGGACTGAGAGACTGCCTCACTGTGCCGAGAGACTGTGCCTCACTGGACTGAGAGACTGCCTCACTGTGCTAAGAGACTGTCTCATTGTGCCGAGAGACTGTGCCTCACTGGACTGAGAGACTGTGCCTCACTGGACTGAGAGACTGCCTCACTGTGCTAAGAGACTGTGCCTCACTGTGCTAAGAGACTGTGCCTCACTGTGCTAAGAGACTGTGCCTCACTGTGCCGAGAGACTGCGCCTCACTGTGATATGAGACTGTGCCTCACTGTGCCGAGAGACTGCGCCTCACTGGACTGAGAGACTGCCTCACTGTGCTGAGAGACTGTGCCTCACTATGCCTCACTGTGCTGAGAGACTGTGCCTCACTGTGCTGAGAGACTGTGCCTCACTGTGCCGAGAGACTGTGCCTCACTGGACTGAGAGACTGCGCCTCACTGTGCCGAGAGACTGCCTCACTGTGCTGAGAGACTGCCTCACTGTGCCAAGAGACTGCGCCTCACTGTGCCAAGAGACTGCGCCTCACTGTGCTGAGAGACTGTGCCTCACTGTGCCTCACTGTGCTGAGAGACTGTGCCTCACTGTGCCGAGAGACTGTGCCTCACTGTGCCGAGAGGAAGAGGAGGGCTCCCTGTGCTGGCCTGTGCTGCTCCTGACAAGAAGCTCTACTGTATCCCATCGGGAATATGGGCTTACAGGACAGGCCCTCCTGCAGAAGAGCTGCTGCCTGTATGTGGGAGATCCAGGTGGATTACAATGAGACCTGTCCTGTTCCTGCGTGGGTGGAGCCTTGTACATACACACAGTGACTATGGAGAATGTCACCCTCCTCTCAGCTCCAGCCCTGGTGGTGTTTACTCACAGGAGGGTGCACAGGGTGCTAATGAACTGCACTGGCCTGTTCTTACATCTGCAGTGCAGACACATTAGCCCTGCTGTTGACCATTATAAGCGCATTTCCTGTTTGAGTGTGGACTCAGTCTCACCTGCCTCTGAACATCGTTCTGTGTAATGTGCACACACACTCCTACACACACATACTGTAGCTGGTGAAGTCAAAGCCTGGATTCTAATGAATTAAAATCAGTGTTACTGTAAAATTGGTATCCATCTTCTCTCTACACTGCGTATAATCCTACAGGCTGGAGACCACCGGTCCAGTCTGGGTCACACTGTACCCCTACAGGCCAGAGATCACTGGTCCAGTCTGGGTCACACTGTACCCCTACAGGCCAGAGATCGCCGGTCCAGTCTGGATCACACTGTACCCCTACAGTCCAGAGATCACAGTCCAGTCTGGGTCATACTGTACCCCTACAGTCCAGAGATCAGTGTCCAGTCTGGGTCACACTGTACCCCTACAGGCCAGAGCTCGCCGGCCCAGGTGACAGTCGCTGGTGTGAATAATGGGGCGTTTCTCCTCTCTGCTGGGCTGGTATTGTACATGCGGCCAGGCTCTGTGTGTTGTTCTGGGCGGGGGACAGGTGACTAGGCCGCACCCACAGGCCTGCACACACATGCCGGTAGGAGCCCAGGGCAGTGCCTGCTCTCTAACGAGCTCCATAACCACAGCGCAGTCCTATTGTCTTATTGTTTCCCATCGTTCGTACTCAGGGTGGGGTCAAATACATCAAAAGAGGGCGAGTGGCAGTCATGTGACAGAGAGGTTGCAGGTTCAAAACCCTGGGGGAACACAGCTAAGGTCCTTCACTTGAGTCTTACCACCTGTCCAGTCCCGGTCCTGGAGGGTCAGTGTGTCCAGAACAGGACTGTCCAGTCCTGGAGGGTCAGTGTGGTGTGTAGCAGAACAGGGCTGGCCAGTCCTGGAGGGTCAGTGTCTAGAACAGAGCTGTCCAGTCCCAGTCCTGGAGCGTCAGTGTGTCTAGAACAGGGCTGTCCAGTCCAGGTCCTGGAGGGTCCATGTGTCTACAACAGGACTGTCCGGTCCTGGCCCTAGATGACCAGTGTGTCTACAACAGGACTGTCCGGTCCTGGAGGGTCAGTGTGTCTAAAACAGGACTGTCCAGCCCTGGTCCTAGGTGACCAGTGTGTTTAGAAAACAGCTCGATATTGATTTAACGGGTCCGTTTAACGGCTTCCCCAGACTTTCAGGTGCTGCTGCTTCGAAGCAAGACTTGTTGACTGTGTTCAACACCCAGAGATCTGAATACCTCGGAAACAAAATGGAAAGGAAGCCGTCAGATAAATTCTTATAGCTGCAGTACTAACTGCCCGGACTAGATCTCGTCATTTTGTCTTAAAATTGGATTTCTCCCCTGAGCGGTACTTCAGGTGAGAAGTGCAACACTGTTTTGCTTAACAACAAAACATGATCTATCACTCTCTCTAGGCGAAATCCTTTTCGAAATTCAACCAGAGTTTCTTCTAGTCAGTGTCGGGCCGGTCTGAAAACACGACTCGCTTTCGGAGAGAAGCCGCATCAGGACCGCCGTTACACTCGGCCTGCTCGTCCGCCCGCCCGCGGTCGCGGCAGCGGACTGGCGTAGCGCCGCTCGGCCGGCGCAGCGCGTCCCTCCCACGGGCTGCGGGCCTCCTAGGTCCCGCCGGCCCCCGGCGAGCGGAGGCGAGCGGGGCAGCCGGGACCGAGCCAGGCCGTTTTCGAGGAGAAAGGGGAATCGAAAGGGCCGGGATAGCAGGAGGGAGGGGACAGGGAGTCCTTCCACCCCGTTTCCCTCTCTCACTCTCCCCCCTCGGCAGCCCCGCCCGTCAACTTCAATTCAAACTCGTCGGCCCCCGTAGGGCCAAGTCTGCCAGGCACCGACACTGCCAGGAGAGGAGCCCGGCGACCCCGGTTCCCGAACCAACTCGGCACCCCACTTTCCGACGCCGACCCCCCCGCCCCTTCCTGCCACCCGGGCCCGGTACCGCCGCGACCCCGCAGCCGGGCAGAGGAAGCGAGGCGAACCGATCTGATCCGGTCCGACCCGACGTCTCCGCCCGTGTAACGCTCGTCAAACACGGAAAGAAACACGTTTATTTATTTTATTTTTTTGTGGTGCATAAATCAGGACTCCGGCGGATATTTAAATGATTTTATTTTATTTTTTTCTGGGGAGGGGAGGAGGGAAAGACCGTGTCCTTCCGTGAAGCCGAAAACTTGTTACCCTTGAGGCGTCGCAGGGCGCAGATCGGGGAGGGGGGTGAACGATAATAATTAATAATTATTATGAATTGACATTAAAGGTAACGATTTGAAGAAAGTGAAACACACCGCGCCTCTTGTGACACCGGACCCGGAACTTTGTTTTTGCAGCACCGGCTCCACCGCGGCGCTAGCTGGTATCGGAGCACCATGTAGTTTTCTCCTCCTTTTTTTTTCTTAAAAAAAGAGGAAATTCGGCATTTGATCATAAAAAATGGTTCCATTTGCTGCGGCTGAAGGCGATGCCTTGGGCCGGATATGCGCCCGAAATGAATGAAGAGTTAACACCGTACTCTCGGGGTTAGGGGGCGGGTGAGGAGGAGGAGGTGGAGGAGAACGGTTTTTTTTTTAAAAGTGCTTTTTCGTGATTAACTCTTTTTTTATTTTCGGGGAAGAGGTGGCAACGCCGTTTTTTTTTTGTGTGTGTGTTCAGTGAAATGTAGAGACGGCGGTACACCGGTGCCGTGGCGGGTGTTGTAGCCGAACCGGAACATTTTCATAACCCCCACCTGTCCGAGCGAGTTGCCTGGCTTATCAATCGCGATACACATTTTTTGGGGGCTCCCATTAAAACCGAGGTTTCTCAGTTCCGACCCACGGCTGATTGCTGAGACTATATCGGCCCTGTATGCGGTAAATTCCCGGATACGCAGGCAGGAGCCGCGCCGCTATGTCCGGAGACAGCGCCGGCAGCGGAGCCGAGGACTCCGGGGAGGAGGGCAGGGAGGAGCACACGGTCAAACACCAGCTCACGAACGGTGAGTGTTGGGCTTTCTGCTGTCTGTTCGTGTGTTTCCAGGTGTGACAGTGCTGTCAGTCAGGCTCCCAGTGTGCAGCAGTCTGATCCGCTCCAGGTGTGACAGTGCTGTCAG